CTCGAGGGCCTCGGACTGTCGAAGGGACGATTTACGGAAGTCGTCCAAGGCCTGCCGAGCGCGGTGAAGGTCCGTCGCATCGGCTTCTCGCTCTGCATCGATACGATTCGCTTCGGCGCTCCGCGTAAGGTACCAGCTCGCGAGGGTGCTTAGCAGCCCGCCGACCTTCCAAACGCGATGGGACGCCGTACCGAGGGCGCGAGTCAATTCGGGAATCGCCAGGATATCCCCCGAGGACAATATGAGCTGCGGCGTCGCGGAAGAGGGCAAAGGTCCTTGCCGTGCCAAGTTCAAAGGGGGTACGGGCGGAACCTCCGACGCGTATTGACGAAATACACCGGACGTATTGGGTGACTGTAAGTGGGTTAAGCGCGACGGCACGAAAGCCGAGGTGTCGTGGTCCACCTCTCGGTACCGCTTCCGCTGAGCATCGCGAAGAGCGGAGCCCACACAGGCCACTCTCCCCGCGACGGTCGGCGAGGACTGGGGAGAGGCCGGCTTCGCTACGAAGGAGTCGGACCGCGCGTCGTACAGTAGAAAGGAACTTTGCTCCCCCGAAGTGTAATCGGTCCACGGGCGCCTCGTACGCTCGGACACCTGGCACGCGCGATGCATGAGTGAAAGTACGGACGCGAAGCTTCACGTCGCGTGTTTGGAATGCGTCTCTAAAGGATGTAGGGGCACGTCGGGGAGGTCGACGGCGACCCTCCCGAGAAACGCGAGAACCCCGATGGGTTGGACAAACACGCGTCGGTTGACATGGACCTCGGTCATAAACGCGCTCCCTAGGGCCCATGCCCACTCACACTCGACGTTGTACATCAATTCAGCGTAGGCCGGGTGCCGGGAGTCGGAGCACACAAACCCGACATGCTTTAAAGCATATGGAAGGTGCGGATGGACCCCGAAGGATGGAAGGGACTTCCGCATCGTCTCCGGCAGTACGGGGAAGTCCCTTGCAGTGAGGCCTTGCTCAAAGGACGCCGATCTAAAAACGCGACCGTCCTCTTCCTCGCGATGTCGGTATGTCGCCCAATCGTGGGGCGACACCGCAATGGCGTGAAGCCGCATAAGTGAGAAAGCGGATTTTTGCAAGGCCACGCGGGTCTTTGAATACGCGTACGGCCGAGGACTAACGAATAGCTCCTTCACTTCCGAGAACACGAAACGCCGCGGGCCGTCAGGGAGACGACCGAACAAGTGTTCAGCCATACGGTCTACATACGAAACCTCACCGATGCTGTACGCGAAGGACCTGTCCCCAGGAATCGCGTCGGGGAGTTGATACGGGACTCCCCCGCCTTCACTCGTCAACCTCTCGAGGACGAGGGCGGCCTCGTCCACGCGACCCGCCTCGTAGATGCGTCGAACACGCATGAGGTCGGGACGCAAGGAGTCGCGGGATAGTAGTTCGGCAAGCGTGATCCCCGATCGGGCGTGCCGACGCCACGGGAACCGCAGTCGCTCTACCGGTAACGACAGCGAGCGCTCCAGAGGAGCACCAAACCGCCGCGTGGTGTCGTCGGCCAACTCTGCGCCGGCGTCGAGCATGCCCCGACACTTCTTTGGCAGGGCGCCGGGCTGTCGGCAGCTCCCCCACGCCCATAAGACCCACTGCGCGGCTCGTAAACTGCGTTAGCGCGCTCTGCATCGGGTGACCACACGGAAGCGGACCCGCTGGGGACCGCTCGGGCGTCTTCTCCTCCCTTCTGTACCGCGCCCATCGAAGGGGCCGGACGGAATTCAACCGATGACGCGGACCCGGAAGGTCCGCGCGACTTTTGGAAAGGCGGCAACGCGGGCGCCGCGGAAGGAACGAACCCCTCTACGCGAAGGGGAAGGGTGACGGAGACCCCAGCAGAGGCCGGGACGGGTACCGTACGCGGGAGGACGGAGGCCTCAGAGAGCGGCGAAAGTGCGAGGGGTGCCACGGAGGAACCCCCACACGAAGGGGACAGCGGGGAGTCGACAGCGGGATGACCCGCGGGAAGAGAAGACATGAGGACCACGCGGATACCCGCGTACGGGCGAGAAGGGTGAACAGCGTCCGCACCGATGTGCGGGAAGAAGCCGATGAAGGCGAAGGAAAGGGGTGCGCGGATGAAGACCGAGACGCAGACAGGGGAGAGGCGATCGCGAAGCACGGCGGAGGCGTAAAGAGGGGAGGGTCGATCGGCGTACGGCGCCGAAGAGAACGCCGGATCAAAGGGGAACAGGGCCTAGAATCGGAAAGCGACCGGGTCGGACATGGCTCTCTCACTCCTCAAGGGTGAACGCGGACGTTCACTCTTGAGGAGGGGGCCGTGTGGCATAACGGCGGTTCGCGATTAGATTTAGATCAGATCAATGCGAACCACACACGCGCACACGTGTACCGCGCATGTGCCCCACGTGTACAGGGGCGCGCGCACGCACGTGCACACGTGTACCACACGTGTGGGAAGCGCGCATACCCACGTGTACTATACGTGTACAACACGTGTATAGACAGCACGGGACGGCCCGTGCTGACTACAGTAGCACTACAGTACAGCCCGTACTGTACTGTAATAAGTTAGGATTACATGGTATATTAAATACGCGAGCGGACCGGCGGCGGTGAGAGGGACAAGCACGGACTTGTCCACGACCTACCGCCTAGGTCCGTCTTCCAGCTTAACTAACGAGCGCGATCCGCCTTCGCGCGCGTTAACCGGGACAAAGCGGGTAGGGGACAGCCGCGTACACGAGCGAGCCTAGATCCGCCTCCGCCCGTCAGCGCTGGTACGTTACCCAGCGCTGCTCTGGGGCGTCGAGGCGTAGATCGGCCCGCACGTACGCTCGTCCCCGACCGTCCCGCTCTACCACCCTACCAGGGCCCGCTTTCCTGTCTCGTTAGCTGTGTGTTCTCCCCGTCTTCTCGCCCCCGTACAGGGTCCACGCCGAGCTAAGTATACACCCGTCTCCGTTGGGGGGTGTTACACTACAAGATGGTGCTCGGGGTCGTGTGCGGGCTCCTTTAGCTGTGGGTGCCTTGGTTCCTTGGCGGGGGGTCCAGGTGTATGCCTGGAGGATGTTGTGCCAGGGGGCTGTGCCGATTACTGTGTTGTCACGGTCTCGTATGCATGCGTGTTGGTGGTTGAACGTGACCGCGCAGTTTAGTGACGTGAGAGAGTGTACAGATACTAGCGTATACGGAATTTGGGGACTGTGAGCAGCTCGTAGGCGTATGCAGTGACCTCTTTTCGTATAAGTCTGTATTGTTCCGGCATGCGTGCATGGTGTGGAGTTATTAGTGGCTGTGATCGATTTGGTGCGGTGAGGTAGGCGCCTCATGCGTGGGAACGGTCGGGAGGTGTGGGTGGGGTGTGCGGCGGAGTTGAGTATGAGAATACCCTCTGCTGCGTATGTTTCGTTGTCGTCCGATTCGGTGTCGTCGGCCTTCTGGTCGGGTTGTGTCTGGAAAGAGGGTTCTTGTATGACTCGGGCTTTGGGAAACGGTTTCTTGCGCGAGGCCTTCTGGTATCGCGGGTGTGTCGGATCGCGGCACTCGTTGTCGGAGTGCTGCGGGCGCCGGACACCTTTGGAGATGTGGTGTCGACAGGCGTTGGGGTGGTATGCCGTGGGGTGTCGTGTGATGTGCCAGGGTGCACGTTGTCTCGGTATGCGGTTGTATTCGGGGTGTGATGGTGTTGCTGTTTGCCAAGGGTTGCTTGGTTTGATAGCGAGACGATAGTTTCGATCCAGTTGTACTTGTGCACGAAGTCTTTGATGCTCTTGGGTTGGAGGGAGAGCAGCTCGAGACCTATGTCTGCTGTGTTGGGGTTCTTTTTCAGGCCGTCTATCATGTAGTACACTGTGGTGGATGGGTCGGCTATGTCGGGGAACCGGGCGGCGATTATTTGTGCTCGGATAGTCTCGTGGCGTTTGACGTATTCGTATACAGTCTGACCTTCCTCGATTTGACATTTCTCGGCCAGTTGCTTGAGATATATGTGGTCGCTGGTATTTGTGGTGTCGAGGTGAACTGTGAGCTTTTGCAGGATGTCGTACGGGGTGGGTTGCTCGTCGGGGGTGCGCAGGTTGCCTTCGAGGTGATCAATGGCGTCGTGTGTGTATGCGGCTCATTGGAGCGCGATGAGCCAGGGACCGTAATTCGACGGTTCGAGTTTGGGAATGTCACGGCGGTCCATGATTGTGGGATTGGAGTGGGCGCGTGGGTGTTGCGGTGGGAGTAGAGGAGGTCTGCCGGAGGCAGTGTGCGGGGGATTGATGATGATTCGGGACGGGGCTGCCTTGTGTTGAGCGTTTCCGTTCCGGCTTGGTTTTGCACCGGGGGTTGGCTCCGGCGGGTGCGTGCCCGTCCTGGGTACTTGCCGTAAGCGCGATCCAGTTTGTTATTCGATGTTCGGTGTGTTGAGCAGTGAAACGAAGCGGGCCATAACCTGATGAATCGTAATCGTCATGGTTCTGTCTTTACTCGCCGCCGCCGTCTCGTGGGTCTAAGTACCGCGTGTGACAGACTGTAATGCGGACAGTCTGTCCTTGCGGTCCGTCATTCACAGCTGCTATCCCAGTGTTCTGCAAGATGTTATTGCCGAAAACAAGCACGTTAAGGAAATAATGTCCAGGATAGCTTTTTAAATAATCAATTTAATTTATACGTTTTTTGCAAAAAAGAGCTGTCCTCATATGAGGACAAGCCCCGGTTGGATAGACACTACACTGTAGCCAGAGAACACGACACGTGTGCGAGTACCAGTGAGGTGCAATGCAAAATGACGTCGAGATACTGTATCACGGGGCGAATAGTGCTCGTTTTCTACACGCTGTACTTTACAGTACACGTACAGTACCCATGGGTACATGATGCAGAGCCCGAATCATACTGATCTTTTAAAAAATAAAGATTGAGAGTGCTTGTTGACATCATCTTTTGGGCAATACTCTTACCATACAAAACGCCATGACCCTCTCCTTCTGCGGTCATTCAAAAAAGACTGGTGAAGTCTCCCTGTGACATGAGCATCTTCACCATCCCATCGAAAGCAGGTGTAGACCGCACATCACAGGCGGGGCGGATTCTTCCAGGCGTCCCATGCTTTGCATTCGGGCTAATACCTACGAAGTCCAATCGTTTGGGGCGTTCAAGCCATGCCGCCGTAACGCGTCCTTCAGCCCGAAGAAGCGCAGTTTCGAATTCCTTGAGTCTTCCAGCTTGGGAGCGGGAATACGAAAAAGATCGAGGCCTGGTTGGGACTTCGTATGAGACAGCGACCGTGGAGGAGGTCGCCCCCGCTGGAGATGGGTTCCTCAGAATAACAGTGGATACGGCGGTGACATGCACCTCTCAAACTTATACCTCAGAGGGGCAGTTTCTTTTTCTCAAACCGTGGGGAGACGAAGATGGTTCCATTGAACCTTGCTGCTTTACGGACCTGCCAGGAGAGGGAACCATAATGCAGTTTTTTGTCCCAGAGGTGAGTGCTGTAGGGGAAGCTGCTCTGGCGGGTGAATTGCTCGAAGTTAGCGAAGTGATGGGGAAAGGTTTTCGTCCCCATATTGTCTCCAATAAGTTCAAGCAAGTTTCTGCAGTATTGGCTGTATGTATTGAACAGTTTTGCTCGCCGTCACTGCTAGCCCTTCGATACGAAAGCAGACCAAGTTCGATTTTTTTGATTGCAGAAAAAGATGGTGCGTTTGCAAAGTCACTTTCAAGTTGGATGGCAGGCGGCTCTGGCAATCGTGCCGTTTATTACTTTCCAGATGAGTCTAGTCTCATACGAGCATTTGAAGCACAGCTCGAACGAGAAGCAAGTGCAGCTGTATTGCTTAGCGCTGATAGGAACTTGTGCCATCGAGCGGAAGAAGCGGTACATCGTCTTGGCGAAGGAAGAAATCTTTACACGTTCGCTCCATGACTACGAGATGACGGGTCGAACAGTTTGAGATTACCCCTACTTTTCAAGTCCGTCTAGCAAAGATGGATACGGCTTCCCAGTCGCTCCTCCTTTCAGAATGATATCAAGCACGCGGTCCTCCCTCACAATTGAGAGCCGGGTAGTTTCCGCTGAGCATAAGTACAGCGCCTCCTTCTGACACACGTCCAAAATTGCATCCACCGATATTTCGTAAACCTCCGCTAACTCGTTGATAGTTCTGTCCGAGTATCTGTCACTCAAGTCTACAGCGTCGAATGACGTAATGAGATTCAACAACCTCTCAATCTCCTCCCTAGTCATCGAATCCCTAATACTTTGATTGCCACTTATCGGCACAGGGACGCCATAGTGAATCATAGCGTCAACAACAAACTCAAGCGGTACTGAATAGTCTTCCGCGACATCTTCCACGGTGCAATCCACGATGCCGTCCCTTCCCGATTGCACATCTTTCAAGCTTTCGATACCAACTAGCTTTTTCCTTGCCACAATATCATGCAAACGCTGCCCAGTCGATGTTGGGTTTAATCGCATCGCAGCATGCTCCAAGTCGCGATGTTCACCTGATTGGTAGGCTTCAGCTGCCCAACTCGGCATGTATTGCACATGATCGTCAATAAAATAATCCATACCCACTGGTTTTTCTGCATCCTCTCCGCTGCCCGTCAGCTCTTCTCGTTGGGTTTGTGCTCCTTTCTCCTCGTCCAGACCTCCACCGGTTTCTTGTTCCACAGGTTGTACAACGGTACGCCCATTCCACTCATCGGACCTCTTCTCAGCCAGCGTCAAAAAATCATGCGACAATCTGTCTTCGTCTCCAGAACTGCTGTCACGGACGTCGCCGAGCTGGTCTTGCCCCGCCTGCTGCAGCTCCTCCACTAGCTTTGCGACGTCCTTGCCATCTATAACAATGTAATCATCATCGCTGACCATTTCTTCGTACAGAAGATCTTGCGTAGCTGTGACGTCATCACTCTGCATAGACGCGCAACACCTAAACACTCGGCGCCGTCTCGACGATGTTTGTATGGTGCGATGCGCCAACGACCGGACGTGCGTGCAATTGTTTGCACGAGCGCTGTTTCCACGAAGCACCGGAATAGCATTGATGAACGCCAACATTGCGGTGGTTGGGCGATATGGGGACCGAGACGTGATATGGGGGCCGAGAGGGAAAGCGTATGGGTCGGCAGGGTCGATGTTCACCAAGTCTACTCCTCATCGGTACTACTGCTCACAGAGGATCAAAATTTTCAGGTTAAAAGTCGGACGAGATCAAATCATGGCCTCATATAAAAAGATATGTTTTCGATGGTGATTGGTTGTGATGAGATATTTGTATTCAAGTGGGCCTTTTTGGCATCAATTAAGGGGTAGATTTTCAGGTCACTGAAGCAACGTAGAAAGGCAGTAGAGCTTGCTGTCTCTGCGGAGCTTGCATGTCCATACAAGCATAGAACAAGCGCAAAGCACTTACGCACATTCGGAGCTATGCTTTGGCAATATGTCTATAGCTCGGATTGGGCCGCACAATGGGAGAAATCACTCGCACAAACCGTGGCAATGAATATGACTTCGTACTCTCGTCTTCACGGATGCCTATGTGTTCCAGACCTTGCCAAGCAGAGGACAGGAAAGCGGTTTCATGCGACCACACACCCAAGCTTACCTGCAGGAGACAATTTGAAGGCTAGTTTCTTCTCAGACATGTTGGCATGCAGACTCAAAAAAACGATGTTTTTTTAGATAGAGAATTCTCCCTCTACGCATTCTAGAGCAATACCAACTTACGCGAGATCTAAATACTCTGAAAGCGACCATAGCTTTAATAGAATAGAAACGTTTAGGTCTAGCGGAGCTCGACGTGGTTATTCGAGCTCGGAGAACACGCAAATGGAATAGGTGTCAAAAACTGGAAAAAGTAGACGGAAGTCTCTTTGCAATAAGGCGCAACGGCAATGTCGTTTCTTTCACTCTACACTGAACTAGCTAGTCGAACGTCATTCACCAGTATCGCATGGCCTATGATTTTCATTAAATACGCGTCTTCGTGTATGCGTCATGTGTGTCAAGTTAAGAAAGGTTCAAAGGTGACGCTGGTCCCAGTCTCGCCTAACAATAATACACTCTATTACTATACACATGCGCGGAAAAGATCAGAACACAAAAGGGGCGAAATGACAGAGTGGGGGGTTAAAAAGTCATGTAGAGACGTGAGTAGTACTGGTTCTGTCTTGAGAAGACATGAGCAACGAATTGTGACATGCAAAATAACACAGGCAAGCATGGTGGATGAACAGGATTTACTTGCCGTACAGAAAAGTGGGATGACTTAGAAAGTGTTAACCGTGTTTGGTTTTCCACACCAGTCCGCACCAAAGAACATTCTGCAAGGTTCTGAAGAAAAGCCGGGCGGGATAATGGGGGAGAGCTTTTCTCATTCTACAATCTGCGTGTTGTTGTGGGTGCTCCTGTACAGTGCGAGCGAGGGTTCTAGCTTCGGCGTCTTAACGTTTTTTAGCACAACAGAAGCGACGTGGACCGTCTGGACCCATTCATGTGACCCTTTTACTGCACAGTACCAAGGGTACACGTACCTTCCTTGTGTTGACATGTTGACTTGAGCCAGGCCCATGCACGCAGCGTACAGTACTGTGCTGGCTGTAGCTGTGGAAGGAATCCAAAGTAACCGCCGGTTATTGCGCTTAGGTGCTCAACAGGTCTTCTGGATACAGTACAGTGTACATCTAAAAATATTACTTTACAGTTCAGTTTTGACGCGACTATCCAGACTGTACTGTGGTTTTGGAGACTATGGCGTAACGAGAATTGTGGAATTTTTGAGCAATGGTGGTTGCGCAACAAAGCGTCCAATCCAGGTTTTGAAAGGTGGGGCTAGGGGCAGCCGTTGGCCCGGAAGGGCAGGAAGTCTTTCTACCACTGTCAGAGAACATGAATCGTGTCCATGTGTGCGATGATGGTTGGCTGGAAAGATGGCTGTGTAATGTCAGAGACTGTAATGGGAAGTGGTCCTTCGTTGGGCCTCGAGGTCTTATGCCGCATTTTTTATAAACAAATCATCATATGGATGGAAAGGAGTACGAAAGGGCCAAACTCTGTGCAGCGAATGCGAGCGGGGCGCAAGACGGACAGCCAATCAGCGGGTGTGATTGGGCCCCGCGGGCCAAATGGGGCCTGCGGGCCAACAGTTCCAGATGCTCGCAGAGACTTTCTCTAGCCTATTCTCCACACTCGATGAACGCCGCCCCTTTTCATCCAATCGCACCCCGCCGCCCGCAATTTTTTTGCGCTTCCCCGCTTCCCGTCTGCCACGCGAAACACGAACAACCCATTCGCAAGCGCCCCCCTCCCACCACCCCTTCCCCTCCTCTCTCTCCCACCCTGCCCCTGTCCGCCCTTGGCCCCCGCGGCTGTCACCTGCCCACCTTTCATACTCACACCACTTCACCCCAATCCCCTTCTCTCTCTCCACTTCGCGGCCGCCTCACACCCCTCCCTTCCCGTACCGCGCCCGCACCACCACTTGCAGGCCTTGGCGCCTCCGCAACCGCAGCCCTGAATCCCAACCGGTCTGCGACGGCGGACCCCGCAGTGGCGGGCATGGACGAGGAGGAGGAGGAAATTCCTACCTGTCCTCTATGTCTGGAGGAACTAGACTCCACAGACCGTGCTGTTAAGGCGTGTCAATGCGGTTATCAGGTATGTTTATGGTGCCTTCACCACATTCGCGAGCAACTTTCTGCCCGATGTCCCGCATGCCGAACTCCGTATGAGGAACAAAACTTCAAGTTTGCGGAAGTCAATCCTGAGCAGGCTGCGAAAGAAGCAAAGGAAAGAGCGACGGCAAAAAAGGAACGCGAACGGCGAGAGAAACTCAAGGAAATTGAAAAGGAACGTGCTCGTGCAGTCGCGGTCTCTCAGCTAAAAGCAAAGAGCAACTTCAAGCATGCCAGAATTTTGCAAAGAAACTTGGTCTATGTCATTGGGCTCAGTCTGACTTTGGCGAGAGAAGAGGTTATTCGTCGTGCCGATATGTTTGGAAAGTTCGGTCGCATGATGCGCATTCTTGTCAATCGTTCTCATCCTTTCAACGCGGATGCTCCTGGAGGACCAAGCATATCTGCGTACATTCAATATTATCGTGATTCCGACGCTTCAGCTGCAGTTCGTGGCATGAACAACGGTGTCTTTGACGGTAGGGAAATACGCTGCGCGATCGCCACCACCAAATATTGCGATGTCTTTGCTCGAAACGCGGCTGCCTCAGATCAGAATGCCATGTTTCACTGCGGCAATCAGTTCTGCATGTACTATCATTCGATTGCACCCGCGGACCTTGTCCTTACTAGAGAAGAAGTGTTGGCAAGACAACTAGGGCCTCCGCCTCCTGCGCATCTCTTTTTCCCAGACTCCCGTCGCCCGAACCATGCCCCCCTTCCCTTTCATAGACCCGGCCCTCCACAGCCAATTCCTATTCATCCACCACCCAACACTGGCGTTCCACTATCGACTTCGTCCGCCTCCCAGGGTCGTTCCATGATGACACGACCACCGGCATCGATGCCAAGTCCATCTACCGCTCCCTCTATTCCGTTCCCTCAACATGGCCAACCTCCCATTCATGTAATCCCCAACATGAATGTCCCTTTGTCAATGCCAGCTACGACGCAAGGAAGCAATGGTGCTTCGGCTGCTGGTCAGCAAGCGCCTCCATCTTCGCCTCGCCCGCGAGTGCCTGGGAACGTTACTGCTGGACGCAAGGTTGGTGGCCCACCTCAACCATTCTCTCCAACACGCGCGCCCGTTCGAACTCCACCTGGGTCCCCCCAGTCTGGGCGATCGAGTTCTTTTCTTCATCGCTCTCCGAGGAAATCGGAACCAGGATCAGTGCCACTGTCATCTGCGGGAGCATCTAGCGCCAGGGGGAATGGGACCAGATCGGCCACTGCTAGCGCGGCTCCCTTCTTTTCACCACGATCCAGTAGAGCTCAGCTCCCTTCAAATGCTGGGTGGGCGTCGGGTCACAGTCGTAATTCGTCTCGCTCTCCCCCACGGCGTGGTCCGTCGACTTCTCTCGACGAATCTGCTCTGTCCACACCCCGTACACCGCGTCGTCTCCCCCGAGATAATGCGCCCCCAGGTTTTGAAAGTGCCGCAAGTTCAAGTACCTCGGCGGCACCGTCGCGACCTCCTGGCTTTGACACCCCAGCTTCGCCTCAGTCATCTAGTGGCAACCGAGAAGGAGCAGTAACAAAGTCTGGTTTGACAAGCGGAGCTCATATTTCGGCCCCTCCTGGTTTCGGACCAACCGCAGTTTCGTCACGAGGTAATGGATCCGAAGAAACGGATAGGAACAACGTTGCGGCGGCATGGTCTCAGGAGGCAACCACCGATGAGGTGTTTGCCACGCAAGATCGACGCCCGCGAAGACCCGTCGGGAAGCCAGGTCAGCGTGCTGGTCTTGGTCCTCAGAGTGCTACTGATTCTGTGCCTGCATTGGCACAGCTGCTTGCGAAGCGAGGAAAAGAGACTGGTGTGTCAGCGGAGCTTCAGTCCAAGACGGGACCTCTGGAAATTTCTGACGCATCCGAATCTCGTAATGGACAATACAACCTTGCGGATGCGCCACTGGTGTCTCAACCACCACTTGGGTCTTTGTTTGGGAAGTCGTCGCAAGGAGGCAAAGTACCCCCGTCAGATGTGGATCGTCGCGTGAAGAGCCCCGAGTCGTCCTCGTACACATCCGCGTTTTCTGTACCGCTGGGACGTACTGAGACATCCAAACTTCAGGAAAGCGCGGCCGCAGCAAGACGGAATAGCTCTCGGTTCGACTTTGCAAGACGTTCGGTCCCTGAGTCACTCTCTGAGTCAACTCATCCCTCGACTCAGTCAATGAGCATACCGTCTCTTGAGCGTGGTGCTTCGAAAACGACTTTCGGCAAAGTGGGGGGGTCTGCCGTCCCGAAATCTAGTCGCGATGAGTATGCTTTTGCTGAAATGAACCCGAACTTTGTTCAGGGCTCGTCTGCGGTAACTTCTACTTCGCACGCACTGAAACAGGCGCGCTCCAGATTTGGATTTGCGGAGCAGACGTCCTCTCCGAAGTCAAACCATACGCGTCCTCGGCCTGAAGGGCTGGATTCTACAGCAAACGGGGAAGGGCTGAGCAGCGGATTTGATGGACCGTTTGCGAATCTGTCTACTGCTGAGAAGCTGGCTTCCCTCTTTCATCGGGCAGAATGGTCGGGCGAAAGGCTACCCCCAATGCCTACGCACGAGCCTCAAGTAGATCAATTGGCCAGCGCAGATCAAGTACTGGACCCAAATACAAGTCACAATCGCCCTGTCACTGCATTACCAATTCCCGCAGCCGTACCAGATCATGGAGAGATACGGAAAAATTCACCAGTATCTCGCTCTCGCCCAACACAATATGCCCCCCCGGGTTTTAGGGAGGCCACGCCTGACATTTCGCCAGAAACCACTGCAGTCGACAACAAGACGACTACCGCGGGCGTGGCCACTAAAGTGGCATCTGGCGGCTCGACACGCAATGCTTCTGAAGCGCTGTCACCTGTTCGAACGGACGATACCGTTAGCTCAGGTACTGAAAGCATTGAGGAAGACAGAAAGAGAAGTCGAGCACAGAGGAAAAGAGACAAAAAGGCGCGGCAGCTGCGAGAAGCGGCTGAACGGAAGGCCCTGGAGGTGTTGCCCCCAAGCACGGTACCCGTGCAAAGTACCGATGCCTCTACAAAGTTAAAGGACCAACAGCGCCTTGCTGCATCTGTGAGCGGTCTGAGGGAAATGAAGAACACGTCTCCGGGTCAGATTATATCGCAAGCGACAGAGCCATCGAAGCATCTCAAGCAAGCGAGATTGACGGACGATCCTAGCAGATTCATGTCAGTCTCAGAGCTAGAACGCGAAGTGGAAGCGGCTAGAGCGCGCGAAGCGCAGCTGCAGGACAGACTTCAAGAGTTGCAGAGGCGTATTCGGAACTACGATAATGTGCGAACTTAGAGGAGAAGGAAAACCTTTAGAATAGTATGGTTGCAGTCTATGGAATTCCCTGTCGTCTTGCTACTTCGTAACCGTGTAGAACTGTCTTGCTCTAATTCTATAAACGCACCAATAGTCTCGTAGGTTTCTGAGGGAGAGCGGGAACCTTCCTAGACATGTTCGTCATACCGAGGCCTGTTCCTGGATTTTACAACACTGCTCGATTTGTTATGGCAAAACGCCACTCCGAGGGATATCACTAGAGTGCGAAGTGGTTGCGTTAAGGCCAAACGCGTGATATGGACAGAACCAGGCATATGTTGAACACAGTCAGTCACTCGTTTTCGCTCGAATTGAGCTCATGGATCAGTTGCCAATTGCTACCGACAAAAGGCATCTTCTAGCAATGTCAGAAAATCGCATGACAGATTCTCGAAATGACTTTGAAGCTTGCAATTCCGCAAGACGGTTAGGGCTTGCGTGCGAAGTGTCGCGTCCACTGAAGCCAAAAGATACACCCGCTACTGCTGCAGAATGGCCCAATTCTTGTATAGCGGCGAGTAATGTGGGGCTATTTTCCGCCTCTGACAAGAGTTCCCGACCTATTTCCTCAAATGCAGATGTCTGACCTCTTTGCCTCACGTGAATAAGGGGAAGTAAGGCATCTGCGGATGCATCCATATTGCTTGCGAAGGCGTCTCCGCTCGCAATACCCACCAAGATTACCCTCAGCAGTTTCGAAAGGGCTGCATCAACCACAGTGCTTGCTGGACCGAGCTCTGGGTTTCGAGAACGCGATCGCGCCAAAGAGGCAACTGCTTCCAGGCTTCTTCGTTCTAGTTTTAAGTCCGCGTTTTGTCGTTGTAGGTCGATAAGATGCAAAATGGTTTCGCACATGTCTGGAGGGATTCGGCTCAACCACATTGGGTGCCGAATGACCACATCAGTTGTGAAACTGAAAATCTTTGCACATACCGAAGGAATAGCTAGCATTTCGTCCGTGAATATGGGAAGCAGAGAGGACAGACCGACATAGCATGCTTCACCGACTTCAAAGTCCGAGCCTTCTGTCAGTATGCTGCTCAGCAACCCAATTACCCCTTGGACGCCATCGTAACGTTCGTCGCGACTTGATTCGCTCACATATTGGGATATGACCTCACAGTAAAGTTTGATGATTGCTATTGCGTTCCTCACGAGATCTCGTGACTCCTCGGGGGAGAGGTGTATCAAAGAGGAGTTTACAATGTCATCTGCCAATGTGATGAGGGATTGCCCGACATCTGGTCTGGACCTGCCAAATGATTTCGCGCAATTAAACGCAATACCATCTGGGGCATGTAAGGCTAGCAGCAGTGCACTACGAGTCCGCGGTCCCGCATTTTCACACATCGCTGCTCCTCGCAAAAGGTTCACTGTTGCTATGGCGCGTTCAGCAGCATCTGCATCTCTCTCTCTATCCTCGATGAGGGAATGAAGAGAATGGTATGCTGGGAGCAACAGCTGGTCGGCGACAATATCTCCAAGCACTTTCGTCAGACACTTCCCAACAAGTCGTACCACCGGTGGTGGGAGATTTTGATAAGCCCCTGTCCCTGCTTGCAACAGCCTGTGCCAAATTTGAGAGTTTTGAATGTCATGGTATCTTGGAGTGCCGAGCGAGAGAGCGTAAAGGAGGGATGCGGCAGCCTCTGCGACATCGCATTCGAAACCACGAGCGGACAAACCTTCCAATGCTTTCTTCATGCACCCAGCCCTGCCTGCGGCAACGATTTCCATTCCACCGACGGCCTCAAATGCTGTTTTCGTTGCAGTCTCGTCATGAGATATGGGAACGAGATATGTTCTTGTTACTCGAGCCAGTGCTTCAAGTATTGCTGCTCCAACTCGTGGAGAGGCCTCATCGGAATGAACCCCCCGAGTCTCCAACATCTGAGACTCTTTCTGCGCTACATCGAAAAGAGCAGAGAGCAGTATCTTGGCGTTCATAGCTGGCTTTCCATGGCCGTTAATCGAAGCAGGTGACAGAAACTGCAATGGAACCGATGGATGCTCGCCTTTCGCATCATCTGCAAGCACACTACACGTCAACAGAATCAAAAAATATAGATCTTCCTGAAAAATATCTAGTGGAAGTGAAGTCTCTCTGTTACGCATCGTACCCCATTGGAAGACTACCTCAGCAGCATGTACCAAGGACTCAGCCAGCATTGGTGCCATTTTGTTCAAAACGAATCTCAGTAGCACAGCCGCGGAAGCAAGGCGAGCTTCTGCAGCAGAGGTATCTTCAAAGCCCATGTCTTCTTCGTCGTCGGGAACATGAATGTTAGCTCCCGGTTCGTTTTCAAGCAAACTCTTCATCCAGAGCTTTCTGCAGTGCATCACGACCTGTTCGATCTGTGGTGCCAGAGGATGCTCCTTCGACTTGACACCGTCGTCGGCCTGGAGCGAAATATTCGCCCAAGTCTCCAACAACACATCTGTGACATCTTCGCTAAAAACATCCTCTTCATCAGCTTCAAGAGAGGCCAAGCTTATGGCCGCCGCATCCAGCAATTGACACGTATCCTTGGTAAAAACGTCCAAATACATTCTCCCCAACTTCACAACGGTCATGATTCCATGTGCACAAGACATTCGCCGCCATACTTCAGCATACGCCAGTTTCATGACACCTAGTTGAGATTTCGCCCACGCCTGTTTGTTTACGCCATCTACCATTGACTGCAGTATTTGCCCTGCTTCCTCATCGGTGTGATAGCTGCGCTGACTAATAGCGCTGACGGCGGTCAAGACTTGCGTCGCTTTCGGGATAGTGCGCGGCTCGTCGTCAGGGTCTCGTACGCTACTATGATAGCTCGTTACGACCAGGCAAAGCCGCAAAATTGTTGGCAGCTGCTCGATGATTTCATGCCATTCTTCTCCAGTAAACGCATTAATAACCACAGCCTCTAGAGACTCCTCGCCACTTGTAGCTTCAGCATACAAGTCTACGGGGGCGTCCGCAGATGGAGTGGCCTGGATCTTCGCTAAATCTGTCGCCAGCACTCTCAACACAGTATCTAAGGCGGGTAGCACTCGAGCGTCATAGTCCGGGGAGTTCATCGGTGGGTGACCTGGGACGGTGAGGATGACCGATATTGAGGCCAAGGCAGCCTTTAGTAAGCCGATGAGATGTCCTTGGGGAGCGGAAAATTGCAAGCGAGCCTGAACGTGAACCTGGCGTTGCATTAAAGAGGCACGTCGTGAGGTATCAGTTATCATGAACTCCGCGCCAAGCAATTCGATAAGTTCGGTAGCTGCCATGGCACTGTGAGCTGTTGCAGGGTCTGGGTTCGCTGCAGCCTCATGAACCAAATTGAAGAAGCGATCGCGGTCCTCAGCAGGCTCCTCGAGATATGCCCTTCGGGCGAGAACGGCTGCCGTTCGGAGAAGGGCTTTGCGCTCGAATTTCATGAGCGCTGGTGTAGAGACAGCAAAGCTGACAAGGAGGTAGCGCAGAGAAGTTGCCCCATAGCGCTGTGGGGGAGTTAGGGTGTCCCATGCTTCCAAGGCTGCTGAGCGTAATGCACCAGCGGCATGAAAGCGGGCGGCGGGGAGGGAGGTATATTGTATTACAGCCAGAGAGATGGGGATGGCATCTGGATGGCGAGTTAGGTTCTTGATTGATTCCTCCGCGGGAATGCGGGTGGCCGGCACTTGGACATCGCGGCAGGCTTGCTCGAAGGCTGCAACTTGAGCATGTTCCGGGAAAGTAGCCATTCGGTACAATCAGGGGGAAGGACACAAATCGGTTGACGTATGGTAATCGGAGACGGATTTCAAGCTGGAAGGATTTCTTGTGATGTACAGGCTGTAGGGCGGGACCGTGGTTGTCCAAATTGCGCCGATCACTTGAACAGTGCGGCGCGGAGAGTGGGCGTGAGAAGGTTTCGGAAGACAGACGACGACTCAGGATATGCACGATAATTGGGCACGGCAATGTGTACCATCATCCCATACGGTATTGTATATTGCCGGTATCCTCTGCAGTTGTGATCAAAGAGTAATTTGTACAGAGACAGGCTGCAACGCCAGTCGGAGGATTATTTGGGTTCAGTGTATGTAGAACAGAAGGGCTTGAAGGGATTGGCGCCTTATGTCCGACTTTGGGAGGGGGGGTCGTGAGGGGTGATGGGGCGGGGGGGGGGGGGAAGGGGGTAGCGGGTGGTTAGGGCGCACACTTTCGGCGGACCGTCACATCAACGGGCAGGCGTGTAAATGAGGTGACCGGTGATGGGTCGTCACACATCGTGTTACCCATTGAGAAGCGAGAGAGACGAAGGGGGCTGCGGCGGCTCAGTGGGCGAAAACTTCGAGATCCGTGGGCTAAATCAGGAATGGCCCGATAGGACCACTCTCGAGACAGCCGAAAGAGCCGCGCACCTTCTGCCAGCTAAGCCGGCGCGTGCCGGGCGCGCCCCGTTCCTTCGGCCATTCAACGCTCCTCTTCATTCTTCTCTCATCCAATCCACAGTAATCTCTCCTGCACAAGCGTCCCGCCCACGGTCTCGTCCTTCCCCCCACCCATCTGCGACTCCACCGCTCACGATCAACTCGAAAACACTAAACTCTTCACTTGACGCTTGGTCCCCTGCTTACCCAACGACTTGGTGTCATTCGCCATGATATCCATCAGGTCTTTTGCATCAACACGTCTCCTGGCTACACGCCTTTTCACTGCTGGGGCCAGTAATACACGCCGTGCTTTTTCTTCCTCAATCCCTCCACACCCTAAAACCGATCCTCACATCTCCACTTACATTGGCAACCCACGTTCGGTCCTGACGGGTCTCAGTTCGCTCATCCGCTTCGGAGCGACTGCGTACTTCATACAATTCTACATTTGCAACACCACGCTGGTTCGTCTTCCCCATCTTGATCTTCTCGCCTTCATCCTCGTCATCCTGACATGATACTGACACTCCTGTCTCCGTACCACGTTGTCATCTCATTACACTTGAAAATCTTGCCTTCACCTTATCTCTTCGCTCAGAGCGTTGGCCCATCCATGCAGCCAACTCTCAATCCGCTTGGTGACATCCTCTTCACTGAATATATTACCCCACGCCTTTCCCGCTTAAAAGCCGGGGACATAGTGGTAGCCGCCAAACCAACAGACCCGCATCTATCTGTTTTGAAAAGGATTCGGGGTATGCCAGGCCAAGTGATTTGGGTGCATCCCATCGGCAAAAACGCCCCGATCAGGTTCAAAGTTCCGGACGGCCACGTGTGGCTCGAAGGGGACAACCGTAATCAATCCACAGATTCGAGACATTACGGTCCAGTCCCACTTGCGCTTATCAAGGGTAGGGCGAGATTTCGCTTTTGGCCGCCGTCACAGGCGGGCGTTCTGCGATCCGTCGTTATCGATCACACAGTAAAAACAAGGGGCCTTCTCGAAAAGGCACATGGTGCCAACGTTGGCGTGTGCGATGACAGGTGAGCGTGTCATATGGGCTACGCTGTCGATGGCCAACAAACTTCGGAACATCGACCGGTAGTAAACATTTCCAGCTCTGTTTTCTGAAAAACATCACCATCTCATTGGAGGCATATCATTCTTCAAGAAAATGAGACCAAGAGCGTACAAAAGGATTTGTGAGTGATACTTCCGCACATTGATATCGCAGAAGTGGAAACATGAGGGCCTCGGGGACGGTTACAAGCTTTTCGTTCGACGGAAGAGGTTGTTCTAAGTATGAGAAGCGGGGTCCCAAGGTGCTTGATACGGCTGCCTGCCTTGAGTCATAAGTAGCAGATACGCCGAAATGCGGCGTCATGTCAGTGCAGTTGTGAGAGGTAGGCCATCGGAAGAAAGAAAAGGACCAAATCTAAATATGACGCCAGGGCTTTGCAAAGCTAAGCTTTGATATGCTGTGACGACAGGGATAATACCAGGTATCAGAAGAGGAGCTTGACGGTTGTTTGGTAAGCACAGCCTTCACTCGGAAACATGAAATAAAGGGAATGTCGTTGCCAACGAACGCATGTGCGCGGTAGCTGACGAAAATAAAGGAAACCCTGTGAATTGTGGAAAGCATGGAAACAAATCTTCAGCATCTCTGACAGGAAATCAGATTCAGCCCTTGGAGACGCACCGAGAGCGTCTCGAAAGGTGCTACACGCCAGCAACGGAAGCCAGAAACCAAAGCCGGCGTAGTTGGACCACTCAGGTTGTCTGAGCCTCCCCCCCACATCAATCCCTCCTTTTGAGCCCCGAAGTGCGTATCACACCTACCCACCATGCAGAGTGGAAATAAAAGCGATGCGATCGCCGCCCGCAAAGCGATAGTTGACAGTATCTTCGAGCTCCCAGTCCACGTCATTGACCAAGACTAGCACACCAGGCCTCAAAGCGTCGCCGCTCACAAACATGTCATGCCGGGCGGTGATAAGATGGTCTCGGACCCAGGTGATAAGCTTACCGAGGCTCTGGATGTCTGCCGGCGGGGTGACGGAGAGAGACTTGGCGTCGCTGAACAAGGCCTCGAGCCCACCGCTGAAAAGAGAGTGTTAGCAAATTGGGACAGGGCGGCGTAGTCAAACGGTGGGGTAGGCGGACTTACCCGAACTCTAGCACGATGGTTTTGGAGGACGTCATGTTTGTTTGACGCTGCGCGAGGTTTGGCAGGTGCGGTAGTCGCGGGGAGAGCGCGGGGTGAGAGGGGAGGCGGCTAGCGGCTAGTGTCATACGTATGGCTTGTTTAGGCGAGACCTTCGAGGCTGCGCCGGTGCTGTAAGCCGAATGTGATTTGTGGATATTTTTTTGGGATCATGTTGCCAACATGCAATTCGCGTGGCACTGCGCACGTGCAGGCGAAGCATTATATGATGCCGCACGCGTGGACACGTGTCCACTGGCGTACGGAAAGCCGCAGCTCCCGCCATTTCCCATACCACTTCGCAAATACAACCCCAACACCTCTGCATCCCACTCCCTCCCTCCCCCACTCCACTCCCAACACCCCAACTCTCCGACTTTCCTTCCTCCACACGAACTGCTAGCCTCTACGAATTTTGCCACCCTTCCCTCACATTCTAACTTGTAACCCTACCACAATGCACGGTCGACGAGGTGCAGAGCTGCTCGAAGAGCTCCGCAAGACAAAATGGCTACCACCTTATAGCGTACGTACCCTCTACAACCTCTACTTCCTTGTCCCTCCCCGACTCCTGTTCTCATCCTAACCTAATTTTTTCCTCCTCCGCAGGAATCCGGTATCCGTCAAATCGCCGCTGAAATCAAGGAACTCCTGGAGCCCTTTCTCGAAATCATCACGGCTCACCGTGCCTCTCTCCAGAACGACCCGCGCTACATCTCTGGCGTCGTCGTCTTCTACCGCAGCGTGCAGCGCAACAAGCGCTGCGCCCTTGCCTACTTGATGAACCGCCTCCGTCGCATCGTCGCCTTCCGCTGGCTCTTCGGCCAGGCGGCCCCCGCCCGGCTGGACCAAAACTTGTCGGGCGCCGAGCGCCAGTTCTTGTTGAAGTATAACGCCCTGCTGGGGGAGTACTGCGACGCCGTCGGCTTGGATTTGACAGCAGATCAGAGCCCGCCGAGGGACTTGTATGTCGAGGTACGGGTGATTGCCGATTGCGGAGATATCCTGACAGAGGCTGGGCCCGTCGCGTTGAAGCCGGGCACCGCCCACTTTTTGAAGAGGACCGATGTGGAGCACCTTATTCGACAGGGCAGCTTACAACACATTTTGTGAAGGTGCTCCATTGTTGTGCACTGGGGGCGAGCAACAGCTTTTTCATCGTTGGGTTGGTTTGTTTGTGTATATAATCTATTCTTGTTTTCAGAATTCGATTCCTTGTGGTTTTATTTATGTTAGTGCGGTCGGGATGCGAAAACCATGCCATGAAGCAGCTTCCTTCGACTGCCTAGGTAGGGATCGAGAGTCAGTATCTAAATTTGCATGTGGTAAGCCACCTCATCCACTCCGTCGACCATTACCCACGCCTCGTCTTTGTCTCCGTGTATGCCCCCCTACACTCGGGATACTTGCGCAACTTGTTTTCGAAGAGCCTCTCCGCAAACTGATACAGCTCAACATCTGCACTCTCCGCCCTTAGCACGGCACCTTTCACAGTTTCGCTCATCGCCTCAATCTTCTGCTTGGTCTCCCCCCTTTCATTTTCCCTATTCCTAACCACCTTCTCTGGTCGCATGGCAAACTCCCTCGCCAATTTCCTCTCTCTCCCACATGCGGCGTTAAGAATTCTCGCTAGCACACACACGCTCTCTGCATACCTCTCCTGCAACCCGACAAAGAAGAAGCGGTCTATCAAGTTATGCTTCGCAGCCCTCAGCGCTGCGCGCGCCGCAAAGCTATCCAAATCCACAAACCGGGCGCGCAAGTCCGTTGCCAGCTCCCCGGCCCGCACGTCTGTCGCCAAACGCTTGGTCATGTAGTTGCGGTTGCGCTCCACCAAGTACCGCGTCATGCTACGCTTCCCAGGCTTGCCGCGCTCAAAATGGATAAAGTGACTGACCTTTCGGGCAAGGGGATGCCGCACGAACGTAAAGTATCTAACATCGCGGTCTGGAAACAGCGAGTGCGCCCCGACAAACTGGTGCCCCATCACAAGGTCAATCTCAGCTCTCTTGTGCGATGGTAGGGCTGCCAGTACGTCCAGATTACAGTCGAGCCCCTTGCCCATGCGCTTAGTCCGATGGAACCACCAGGCGGACAGCAGCCCATCTCCTGACGTGGCATGACAAGTATGGTGTAGCCCCAGCCCGTTCCGCTTCGCAAATGAGAATAGAGACGTCTTGAGGCTATTTCCACCTGTCTTATGGAGATGAAGGAAGACGTAGAGCGGCTTATTGTGGTGCTGGGCAGCGGCGGCCGCGGCGCAGGAGAGGGGGTGGTGCGAGCGTGACAGGGCGCCAGGCTCCTCCGGAAGCATGCGCAAGGACTCAGGTATCCTTGACGAGTGACGTGAGGCGATGAAATTGCAGAAGAGCAATCCGGAGGCGACAAGGAGGAGAAGAATGGGGAGCTGAGACCTGTACATGAAGCGAAGCGAGTACGGGGGTGAGCCCTTAAGCGGATATCTACGGGAGGACGACTGGCGGGAGAGGGACTTCATGTCCAGCAGTACATGTCGCGGGCTTGAGGCGAGCGGTAGCGGAGAATACATGTGGAATTGGGAAGACGACTTCAGGTTTGCATTACCGACGGTGAGAATGAAAAACGAAGCGTCAGCAAGTACAGAGATTGCTCACTTCCAATTGAGCCGCACTGCTGAGTTCTGATTGGTTGTTTCGAAATTACACGAGACGTATCACACCGTCCGAGAGATTGAGATCCGTTACTGTAACAGATTCTGTTGCCTTCTGGGCTCCCCTAGCATACAGTACCCTTGGTACACCACTCCCCCACCAGCAGACCTCTTCGCAAACTGCAACTCCATGACAACGCTTCCCTCTCCCTCGTCTGCCTTCTCGCCATGAAGGCCCCCTCCCCCCCAATCCGTGTCCCGACCGAAGCGGAGCTCGAGCAGTCCACCCCTTCGGAGCTGCTCCTCCTCTCGGCCACCCTCGGTCGCACCGACCTCGCCGTCTCCGCCCTGCGCGCGGGCGCGGCCGTCGACGACGTCGTCCCCTCCTCGTCTTCGCACGCCCGCACTGCTCTGCACGCCGCGCTCTCCGGGGGCCATGTCGACGTCGCACGCGCGTTGTTGGCGGCCGGCGCGTCGCTGACGAAGCACGACGCAGGCGGGGAGACCCCTATCGCCGTCGCCGCTGAGGATGAGGCTGTGCAGACGGCGCTCTCCGCCCATGTGTGCCAACGCGCCGCTGCGGGAGATTCCCATGCCATCGCCGAAGCGATCGCCGCGGGTATGGATGTAGGAAAGACCGATGGATCTCCAGCGGTCAATACGCCGCTGCACTGGGCGGCCGCGTTTGGTCAGGTTTCGGCTGTTCGTGTGCTATTGCAGGCGGGAGTTGATGTTGATGCCGCGAATGCCAAGGGGGATACTCCCTTGCGGGATGCGGCAGCCGCTGGGCATGTAGCGGTGGTGCGGGAGCTTATGTCAGCCGGGGCGGATCCGTCGTTTAAGAACAAGAAAGGGAGTTCCCCAATCGATATCGCCACGAGTGATGAGCTGCTTGGCGCTCTGCATCGAAGTCACCAGGGTGAGAGAGAAGTTGCCGAGCACGCGGTTGGCAGTGTAGAAGGTGAGGACGGACCGGAGACGCCGTACTTTGTTCCCGGAGAACGCACGAGAGGAGGGGCCAGACTAGCAGGAGCTAAGGCGGAGGAACGGCCGGCATGGGGTGAGATGCTTTGGCCAAGGCCGCAGAGGTTTGTGGAGGCTGCGCCAAAAGGCTTTTTTACCATGCCGCCGGTCGTTACCGTGTCGGCAGAGAATGAGTGCATGCAAGTTGCGCGGATGCTTGTTACTTGGATGAGGAATGAGAAGCTTGGAGATGACTATACTGTCAAGCTTGTCGGTGGGGGTCATGGGGGTTTAGGCGAAGCGCTTGAGTTTTCTGCTTCGGTATTTTTACGCGTTGATGCAAGAGGTGTGGAAGGTGCGGAGCAAGCATACAACTTGACCGTCCGTGATTTTGGAATAGACGTGGTTGGAGTGGATTTGCCAGGGCTTTTTTATGGTGCCTCGACCCTGTTCAATGTTTTCCGGTTGAGAAAGGAGAAGTCGAAAGACCAGTCTGCACCGCTGGCTATCCCCACCTGCCGCATCTCGGACTGGCCTTCTATAAGACGGCGGGCACTGCACATGGACATCTCGAGCTACATGCTTCCGAAACGCGAAACGCTTGATGCGCTCGCCAAGTTTCTTGCGCGGGAAATGAAAATGAATCAGCTTCAGCTCAACATGGGCCCCAACTTTGTGAGGATGAGTGACTTGTCAGGGAGGGATGCGATGCGACATGAAGATATCTTGACGTTCCAGAATGTCTGTCATCAACATTTTATCGAGCTTGTGCCGGTCGTCTCCCTAGGTGACCAAACTGAGCAACGACGGGAAAGCGGTGATGGGAACACAAACGGAAACGGTGACCATCACTCCAGATCCTCACAAAGGAAAAAACGAGTTGCGGATGAAATGATCTATGATGAGTTTGTCACTTTGTTTGACAGCCCTCAGGTCAATCTGGGTGAACTGTCCGAGAAACGAACAAGCGACTCCAGCGATTTTGAAAGGCTTCGCGCTGCCACCCGCGGCCTGCGCTCAAGAGGTAAACAGACTTTCCAAATCTACGGGAGCCAAATCCCAGAAACTCTCGCGGATTCTCCAGTGGTATCAAGTGTATTAGCGGAGATTCCTACTAGATGTATTACCATCCTGGAGACAACTCTCGCGGATGAGGACAGATACAAGGAAAACTGTCTTCGGATGAGTCAATATGGTTTGCCGTTTTATACGTGCTCTTCCTCATACTTGAATGAGTCGCTTGCAGGGTGCACATCAAAAGCTCTTGACAGTTCATGGATTGCGGTGGAAACCGCAATTGAACAAGGCGCCGTAGGCGTTATGATGAAAAACTCGAGTTCAGCAACACACAGCGCACCGCTCGTATTTCTGTACCAAGCCTTGATTCCGTTTGCCGGGGCCGCATGGAATGCTAAGCAAGAGGTGGGAAGAGTATCCTCCGGCCCAGATGACGTACTCTCTCACTTGTACGATATGTACATTTTTGGGGACCCTACTGAGAAAGGCATCCTTGGCAACATAGCTCTATCTCTTGGTGACCTCCACCTCGTTGCAGGTGATAGCACTGGGAAGGCTCTCTCTTCACTGCTTACAAATCGCAGAGGAAATTCCATTTCTGCAATAGAAGAGATGACATATCTGGGCCTGCGCAAGGCCTTGAAGCGAGCTGAAAGAATCGAAAATGCCCTTTCATCATATGTTGGAAATGCAGAGCGGACTGACGTGCTGGAAATGCGTGTTGCCGCGATCTTGATGGGTGTATCAGCAAGGCTTGGTGCTTCTCTGTTTTCGGTATCCTCAGCAAACTCCATGGATTTCGCAAACAGCTTCAGAGAAAGCCCTCTCCGAATTAGTGCCCTGCCAGATGGAAGAAGAAGCGATCTCTGCAATTCCCTCTTGCATGGCATCGAACTTTTTCGAGATGCATGGATGCAGCGATACAATGAGGTTGGATTTACGGCAACAGTGGAACTTTTGACCGGAGAAGCGCTGACACAGCTCGCAGACGGAATGCCATACCAAAGATACCTAGAAGAACGAAAGGCGCATGGCTGGGGTCCAGGCCGGGAGTAGAAGAAAGTGCTGTTTTCATGTGTCTCGCAAGCGCCCAATGCGCAATGATGGTATGGGTAGGCCATCTAGAAATTCTTCTATCTCCTCCGTATAAACACTTTGAGCGCCGAGACTCGGAAAAAGAACTAGTGGAGGTAAAGAAGGCGAGAACTCAGCATCGAAACCGAGAAGATCCGTACACGACCGATCGCCATAATTGCTCCCAGCTTGCGAGGACCTAGATTGTTTCGCTCGGGTTTTAACCTTCAAGAGTATGCGAGAAGGTTCCTCCCCGTCCACATGTATCATTTCCCTTGACTCACTGATACCAAGGTCATTTTGAAGAATCGCTTTCTTCACGCGGGGTAATTCGTTTCTGTCTTGAATGATTGCGATAAAGGCCTCGTAGTTTTGACGATCGCAAGCAGTGTGCGCGGCTCGCAAAAAATGTTCACAGGTTGCACTACTTTCTTGGTGAGCCAGATGTTTCTCCCTATTCTTTGGAGACTTTCGAGATCCGGCGGGATAAAACGGAGGATTGATCAGCACAACATCAAAACGGCCACGTAGGCCATCAGGCAATCTACCGTCTTTGAGATCAAATTGCGTGACGTCGCCATCGATGCGGTTTAGGTCAATGTTCCGTCTGGCACGCTCGGCAAGTTGAGGTTGGAGCTCAATCATGTGAACTTTGGTCAATTGGTGCGCCCTCGCAAAGAGAATTGAAACGAGACCATTCCCAGCCCCAAGGTCAAGAACTCGAACAGGTTTCGAAGGTTTACCTGTGGGCACGCGACGGTACTCTCCAAATGCGAAAAGCGCCAAAATATGAGAATCAACGTTAGCTCGGTACCCTCGACGCGACTGGAGCAAATAGGCCTTCTGCCGTAGAATCAGGTCCAATGTTTCACCCTGGACTGGTCGTAGATGCGTAGGCAGTGTCCGCAGTTCCTCTGGATCCCATGAATCAGATGACCTACGAGTGAAACCGGGACGCTCTTTGGGCAGGTCTTGTACATTTGCGGTTGAGCAATAACGTCGGTATCTGTTCTTCATGCACGTCTGTGAGTACAGCTTCAGTCCTTGAATCTCAATACTACGTGGTCTTGCAGCTTGAAAACCTCTTAGATTAGTAAGCGGAAAATGTTTATGGGGAGTGCCAAGCATAAACATTTGGAGTAGTACTTACCCGCCCCCCTCGTCAAGAGTGTAAGATGACGAAGTATCTCACGGGGTTTGAGCCTACAGTCGTCCTTCAGTACGTGCAGTGCCCTAGGGTAAAGTATTAGAGAACTGGGCTTCAGGTCCGATCACAGCAGTTTGAAGTGCCCGATGCGTATCCCCTCACAGGTCTAAGAAAATTGTTGGCGTTCTATCGAGCAAGAGAAAGCAGGATAGCCCCCGTCCCTCTAGAGAGCAAAGTCCATTCTGGGTACAGCACGTGCGGGGAAAAGTATATGGTTTGATGCTTGGTTTGATGCTTGGTGTTCGAAGGCAGGCGTCGGGCCCTATATTTTTGAGATTTTTTATGACGAACTTCATGGGGGGTACGGATAGGGGCAAGCACCTACTCTTTGTTGCACCGAGTGAATTCTGTGGCAGCCTTGCTCTATGGTACCGTTAAAAACGCCTCTTTCTACGCATCCTGAAAGGTCCACGGGGTGTAAGAGGACAAAAGAATTGTTTGGTCCCCAGATCTGTACTGTTCACTTTCAAAGAACGGAGCTACACGTACAAACGTGATGCCGCATGGACTGATCACAAACATTATGTCGCAACAGAGCAGAACAGACCCCCACTACTAGTCTAGCGTGGCAGTCTAAGCAATTCTTTTCATTTTCATTTACTGAGTTGCAATCGATGTAATGTGAGGTGAGCCTCAGCTTCAGGTACTCCTCAGAAGGATGGCTCCATGTTTTTGTAGTCTTCCGGATGTCTCCTTGGTGACAACAGCCGATAACACACCTCGAAGTCATGTTTGAAACCTTTCAAAGCTCAAATAATCCCCTGTGCCTGGCAACTTCAAGTACCCTACTGGGAGGAGTTCAGGGCAGCATATGTAACTACTTGGCAACTTTTTCTTTTATGCATTTTTTCTCTGTCCATACTACTTCGACGTACAAAATCATGAAAGACAAGAAGAGATGTGTCAAAATTGATACTACCGGTAACGTTTGTGTCACAGCTTTAGCGGAATTTCAGCTGTGGTTGTGTAATCTCGTTATTTCGATGCTGGTATGAGTATTCAAGAGCCCACTTGATGGTGGGGAACGCAAGTTCGTCCCAAGGAATGTCTTCCCATGCAAACATGCGAACGACCAGAGACTCAGAACCAGCTGCCACAGTGTCTTCGTTGAGGAGGGTGCACCTGTAGAGAAGTTGAACCTGTTGTGCTGGCAGGACGTTATACACTGCCAGCAACGTAATTGGATTCATGTCTAGCTCTGCGCGAGCCTCTTCCCATGCTTCTCTCGCTGCCCCGCGCTCTGCCGTCTCGCCATTCTCAAGAAACCCTTGTGGGAAGGTCCACTTCCCCACAGGAGGAATTGCCCGTCTTGCGAGTAGAACGCGACGTCTATCTTTTGAGATCGGGACACAACCGACAACGACCTTCGGATTTTCATATGCAATGTGATTGCATTTCGGACAAACGCTCCTCACCCGTTCATCGCCTGGGGGAGTTCGCTCGACCATTTCTGACGCGCAGCAACGACAGTAGGAAGGCGGCGTGTCGTCCTTCACCTTGCTTTCATCATTCGGGACGGATGCACTCTTGGAATCAGGCGCTCCGGATAGTGTCATTCGGTAGCGCATTTCCTTGTCTCCATGACGTGTGCAGCGGAAGTCCCCTTCTCTCGTTCGGGTTCGTCCTGAAAGTGGAGGTCTCAGCGGAGGAGCGAATGCCATTGTGGATTGGGTGACACTCTTCTACAGGGAAAAATAAGGTGCTTCAAAAAATCTCGCTAGGGAGATGGTCACGCAGGCCGCACAGGTTCGTCACTGCATAAGCACTGATGAGACTGGAATAATCAAGCTGACCTCAGTTATGCTCACAGGAAACGTCGAGAGCAAACTTGGAAAAGGTTGCGGTGCTTTTTCAGAGAAACGCAGCTTTTCTTCCACTTCAATCAGGGGGCGCAAACGTGAATCCCGCACCTTACCAACCGTACCAAGCTGATCAACCCAACCAGAGACAACAATCGAGGATAGAGAAACTCACCGACCTTCTCTCTCTGACAGAACGTCATGCTGGTTCGCGAAACCAGTCCGATGAAAACATCAACGATCATTTCTGAAGCACGTGGCCAATTCCGATAGGTTTGGAGACTCGAAATTTGTCAACGAAGAAATTCAAGATCGCATTCTATCTGCATTGGTCATTCCCCATCAGTAGTGAGACGCGAGCAAAGCAAGAATGCATGGACTGAAGACTGTACCCAAAAGAGATGTCCTTCGGGTTTCTCTACGGCAAGAATCAGGATGGCCTTGTAATGTTACTGGACAAGAGAAGAACAACGTGCAGGCTTATCAAATCGTCTTGATGAGTTGACCGAGGAACGTTTCGTGAGGCTATGAAGTATCGAGAGGGACGATGCATTGCAACGCGCTGTGCAGCAGCATTATATGCTGCTCTTTTTCCGTGTCACTTTGAAACTGGATACCAAGCTCGCTTTTCACATGCTATAGTATCATTGAAGCGTTTTATACAGATAGTGTATCTAGGATTAAAAGGATGCACTTCATCGTTGGTTCTCGAAATAAATAGTGACTTTCAAGACGACATTTGTTTATTGCTGTGAGCGCTTGGATTTTGCGTTGCACCCTTTCAATGGTCAGAGAGACTTCTGCGTGGTAACTCGATGCAGCGTACTGGAAAGACTAGAGAAATGACGTAGAACTAAATTTTCTGTTTTATTCTTGTCTTTGTTTAGTGATGGAGAGTATTTCTCCTCTCCGCATTGCAAAGATGTCCGTGATTCGACCCGACTGTACCGTTGTGTGAGTGAGAGGAACAAATTAGACTATGGAAGGTGACACGCAGTAGAGAGGTGCGCGTCATTACAATTCAATGAATTTCTTGTGTTTTTTCGGTACCTGCATCAAACATTTGCACAAACCCTACGTTACGGCCAGCCTTCTGCTTTCGCCAATTCCCGCTCTGAGCGCCGAAGCCTAGATGAATAATCGAAAACTGTAATGACTCTAGAATGTAGACTCACTCACCCTTCTTGTAAATGAATATGGTTGAACTGCAGGCAAAAATACAGGGTTCAGATCAAACGTATATACAGTTTCTGCTTCTTCAAACCCCCCATCGGAATGAGGGAAGGTTTCCTGTTCTTGCATGCCATGGCATACGTTTTCATTCTCTGTTCTCTAAGAGGGTCAGATGCAACTAACTTTCGTTTTTCAAGTGAATCGACAGATGACGATACTGAACGAAGCCCACCCGAAACAAATTCTAGTCCGATGTCTAGGGAACCATGGTTAACAGACCAATCAGACTACGTAGGCCTAGGAGATTACAATGGGACAGCTTTCGCTATAGCTGATTTCAATAACGACAAATACTCTGATTTAATAGTGGGTCAGTACGCTCGAGGAAGCAGGGCCATCGAGGTATTGATTTGGGATCACCATTCGTATTCGTTTCATCCTGTTTCAAAGTGCAACCGTACAACTTTCCACAGCGTATTTTCTCTTGATGAAGTGATACAACTTTCTTGCGAGGCAACTATTGCCTCGGCAGCTACGTTGGATGCGGATTCCGACGGCTACATTGATATATTGCTCAGCATTCGTTTACCAAACAGTAGTTTTACAGGCGCGTTGCTACGTGGTGATGGTACCGGGTGTGTGCGCCTGGAGCAAATACTGCCAGGCATTACTCCGGATCTTTTGATATTGGACGTAAATGATGACGTTCACCCAGATGTCTTTTTTACTTCTGTCGAGCAAGAAAGAGTGTTTTATCTTAATGATAAAGCTGGGAGATTCCTAAGGAAGACGTGGAGACCTAGATTAAGGGATGAAACATGCTTCCCGAAAGTAACATCCAACTCTCATGCTTTTGTTGACATTGACGGGGACTGCCTTCCTGACTTGGTCGTTACTACCCAATGCGGAATGGAAGTTTGGCTGAATGGCAGGCTTGAGAACAGGAGAGTGGGGACATGGACGTCTGGGAAGGAATATAGGAAAGCTCATGTCAAAAGCTTTCCGGAGCTGAAATTACCAGACGATAATAGCCGTTTCATCCTTCTGAACGAGTCAGTGTGGAGTGATGCAAGAGGTGATGGGAAAGCATGTTTTGCAGACTTCAACGGAGACGGAACGATCGATATTGGAGTACCGAACAGTAATGACGCAGAAGTGCGCATATCGTATCACGTCCGCAGCCACAGCTCACAAGCAAACCTCTGCGCAGTAGATCCAGCCTGGCATTACTCTACAAAAGTTGCACTGGAAAACGTTTATATACCAGACACTTTGGTCGGGATTCATCGCATGCAAAGCACAATCAGAGTAGGAGATTTCAATTTCGACAATAGAGCCGATATGTTGCTCCTGAATGGAGAAACTGGGACGTTGAATCTGTTCGAGGCTAGCTCATTCCGCGGCCGAAAAGGGTGGTTTCCAGGTTCTCGAGGCCTTAACCGCTTCTACAATAGATTATTGCTTTCAATTACCGGCTCCTATCATTATCAATCTGTCGACGATCTTGAAGTGCTTGAGTATATACGCGCTTCAGAAAGTCCAATACTAGATGGCATTGAAGACCCGCTGGGTGCAGCCTTCATTGATGTGGACGACAGCGGAAGACAGGATATTTTGATTCCTCAGGTACACGGGACCAGGCTCCTGTGGAATGGTCTTCACAGTTACGAAGATTCCACGTTCTTCAAGGCAACTGGGGTGGACAGCACCCGAGGCCAAGGTAAAAGTGCTTTTAGTGGGAAGCAATCCTTCATTCCCACGCCAGGCAACACCTTTATGGTAACATACGGCGGTAGATACGGTAGAGAGACGCACGTGTGTAGCCAGTGTCCGCAAACAGGAGGTTTATCACTCCAGTCATGTTCTTGCATGTTTGGGTTGACCAGAATTGCAAACTACATTGAAGAGATGGCCATGGGAGGAGCACATGGCGTTCGGACCTGGAAGAATTTAATGCCCAACGCCCATGCGGTGGTGTGGCCACAACACCACTCCAAGTGGGGGGTCACTAAGTGGAAGATCTCCTACCAATCTAGGGGCCGGGACGGGCAGATGAAGAGGATTGTAATTGTCCTCATCACTACGCTGGCATTTCTGCTCGTGGCCATAGCATATACGCATAACCTCGAAAGGCTCGAGGAGAAGGGCAACAAGTTAGCCATCAGATAGACGCAAACGATATGCCTTATCTTCTCGCCCAGTCTTGTGCCGCGCTCCCACCAAAACAATACAACAGGTGCATACATACCGCAAAGAATATATCTGTACTGGTTGACAGCCTCGCACCCAATACGTCTGGCGAGAAAATTGCCCCACCTCGGCGCCCCGGCGCGAAGAACAGAGTGTTCGGCCTGTGGCCATAGATAGCGGAAAGAAAGGACTCTGCGGCGCGAAACGCATAAAACAAATCCTCACGACGGCGGACCACCATCGCCCGCACCTGGGCCATTAGACGGATTTGAAGAGTTTTGCGCGTTCCGTTGAGAATCCGCCCTCAGCTCCTCGGCGTGGTCAACCAAATAGTTAGCGGCAAGGTCTTCGTCTCGGTTACAAGCAAGCCAAGTCTCGACGACATCCGATTCCTCGAGCCCAATCGACGCCCCCAGCTCTGACAAGCGCACAATTTGCTGGTGTTCTTCCTCCGAAACCATGACCTGGTCTGTTCCTGGCTGCCCCGCGAGCCCTGCCGCGCCCGCCATCGCCTGCGCCGCCTGTTCCAACGCCTCATCGCCCCCTAACTCTCCTTCTCTCAGCGGTTCATTGATAAGCCTTGTAAACTCGATTTGATTCGCGTCTATCATGGCCAGCAACGACGGGTTTTGAACTTCGAGTTGTTGCAACAGCTGCGGCAGTACGGATGGGTTGGCTTGAATGAGCCTACGCATCATGTTGAACTGGGGATGTCCGCGCAGAAAGTCGAGGTTGCCTGGGGCACCCTGGCCTCCACCACCACCCGCAGGTGGCGCTTCAAACATATTGAACGGGGTAGCTGACGGCGGTGCGCGGTCTGCATTCCCCGTTGGCGGGGCGGTTGCCGCAGGGTCCCCTGCCCTTGGTGGAACTCGAGGCGCGGTCGCTGAGGCGGGGGGCACGACGGTCTCAGGGATACCGGAGAAGAGATAGTCGACAGCACGCTGCGGGTTATTAAACGCGGCGCGCAATGCCTTTTTGACCTTTGCCTCTGGAAAGCCCATCTCGCAAATTTGGCGGACCGAGGCGATGTACTCGTCGCCAGTCACGAGAGAGTTGGCACCGTCAGCCGACTGCTCGCCGGAGGATGCGGCCGGTGTCGCGGCCGGTGCCGCGGCCGGTGCCGCGGCCGGTGCCGCGGCCGGTGCCGCGGCCGGTACCGCGGTCGGTGCCGCGGCCGGTGCCGTGGTCGGTGCCGCGGCCGGTGCCGCTGGTGCTGCAGCTGTGCTACTTTGGGGCTCGGACGCCGCGGCGGGCTGAGCGGATGGGGCGCCCTTGTCCTCGGCAGGCTGTTTCTTCGCCGGCTCAGGTTTAGGTGCCTCCGCGCTCGGCTTGACGGGGGTTTTCTTTGGAGGCATGACGACTACGAAGCCCGCGGATGTAATGGCGGCCGACTCGACGGTGGCGTCATCGGCGAGAATCTTCCCCTTGTAGATAAGACGGAAGCCCGCATAGTTCTCGACCTTTTGCTGCTCGCCGACCTTCTTCTTGAGCTCAAGAACCGTCTCTGCGGGGGGCGCAATGAGCTTGAAGCTGGCGCCCTTGAGGGTGCGGAAGGTGATCTCGACGGACATGGTAGCGCGCGTGTGAGAGAATAGGGAGGGGAGGGACGTGCGGTGGGGATGAGGGTGGTGGAGGGCGCGATGTTGGGACGGGGACACGAGTGCTGGAGGCGGGCAGTATGACAGGAGGACCACCGCGCACTAAAAGCTGTCGTAACGGACAGTGCACAGTGCACCCGTTTCATATTTCAACTTTATTTAACCCCCATCCAATTTCAACCAACCATCTCTCGACACACGTCCCTTTCCCAATACATCTGCTCCACACGTGCACAGGTGGCCTCGTTGTAACTCACGGCAGCTCAATCTCCTGCTATAGCATCGTCAGAGACTGACGCAGGGACTGACGCCGGAGATCAACCACCGCCTTCCGTCCACCCCCATCGACACGTGCATCCCCTTGTAAGGCGTTTCCCCTATCCTCTTCGTGGCATGTCTCTCGCTTTCTCCCTTCCCGCTCCCCTCCTTCGCCTTCGGCCCCGACCATGCGTCTCCCGTCATTCCCTGGTATGCACGGCTTCGCCAGTCGCCGCCGCTGGCCTAGTGCTCCCCCCGTCCCCCATCCCATCTCGCTTTGACTCCGGCGCCATATCGGGTGCCGCCGTGCAGCGCTACCTCTCTGACGAGGGGGCTCGCTTCGTCATGTGGTACGCCGGACGCCCTCTCACCTGGGCCTCTTCCGCGAAAGCCCCGCCCGGCACGTCCCACGGTCTCGTTGGCCTGGCCCTCTCCTCCGACGGCATCACGTGGGACCGCGTCGAAGGCCCACTGGAAGCTCATTCCGTCCTCGCCCCGAACGACGATTGGTGGACCTTTGACACCGTCCATCTCTCTCTGGGCTCCGTTTCCATTGACAGTAACGACATGGTGCGCGCCGACGCCGGCGTCTACTTCATGTACTATGGAGGCGGAAACGCAGAGAAAGTGACCGTGGGAGGGGCAGAACTTGCAGGCGCGCGTATGGCCATCGGCGTGGCCATCAGTAAGGATGGTGAGCACTTTACCAGGATTGAGGGCGAACATCCATCGGGCGCTGTGCTGGAGCGTGGTGACGAAGGCGCGTTCGATGAGCTATTTGTTGCGGGGCCTTGCGTGGTCAGGGCGAAGACGGGGGCAAGCAATGCAGGCAAGTACGTTATGCATTACTTCAGCTTTGATGAGAGGAGAGGTAGGTTTGCGATAGGGCAGGCGATATCGAAGGACGGGCTACGGTTTGAGAGGGCGAAGAACGAACCGGTTATCACTGGGGAAGGGTGTGCCTTTGCGGAGCGAGGCGTGAGTCGGTGTTGCGTGGTGGAGAGGGCGGCCGGAAGATTCGTGATCTTTGTGGAATGCGTGGACGGAGAGGGTGTGCATCGCATTGCGATGGCAGAGTCGAGCGATTGTCAGACTTGGGGTGACCTTAAGGTTGTGTTGGAGCCTGGGGAGGCCGAGGCGTGGGACTGTAAGGGAGTGTCCCATCCAAGCGTAGTGCAGATGGATGATGACCAGATGAGGTTGTACTATAGGGGACGGGGGAGTGAGTACGATGCGGAGAAGGGGACGGGGTCGGGCATTGGCGTTGCGGCGAGCAATGGGGCGGATTGGACCAGGCTGGAGCGGATATTAACGGAGCAGCAATAATGAATTTTGTATCTTGACATGAGCGTGGGGCCTTCTTATCTCGTGCAGCACAACCAAACGTCTACTGCTGCTGAGATGTTGACTCGTCCTTCTTCCGAAATTCACCAGTGATGGCCCCGGCCGTCGTCCTCACGCCCAGCAAGAACAACCCGAGTGCTGTCACCCCCGAAATGCCGCTCCCCAGAGCGAATAAACAAACGAGACCAGTTCGAACTACCGCCCCCAGCCTCTGCACGACATAAAGATCGTTGGTGAGCGGGTGAGTCAAGAAAAAACGAATGACGAAATTGAGCACTTCCCAGGCGACGTAGGATATTGCAGCGGCGCCCACCGCGCCGACGTAAGCGTTAAGGGGGTTGACGCGGGAGATGTCGATGGGCACGAACTTGGGCGGCGGGGGCGAGGTCTCTTCGGGCTCGACGCCCAGGCGACGCATGGTATCGCGCACTTGCGAGAGGACTCGTTCGTTGGGGGTCCGGGGGGTGGAGGGAGAGACGGGGGTGTTGGAGAAGAAAGAGCCCATGGTTTGGTCGCCGGTGTCGCGCCTGAAACGCACGGTTACTTCGTCGTCCGGGGGGGTTAGCGCGCAGCGAGGGGGCCGGTGGCGCAGGGTCCGGAGAGGGAGGCGGTTCGGAGCGGGGAAGGGGGAGAGGAAGGCATACATGGTTTGGTGGGGTGGGCGGGAAGACGGGGGGCAGGGACAGACTCTCGGATTTGAGGCGGTGTGGTTTCAGGGACGTGGCAGGGGGTAGGCGACGAGGCTTGGTGCACTGGCGTTGGGGTTGAGGTGAAGAGAACTGAGGGCGTTTTCCGCGGGCCGGAGAGCTCGTGATGCACGACAAGACATGTGTGTTGAAGAGGGAGGTCATATTACAGATCAAGATAAAAACGCGATTACACGTGTATCACGGCAGATAATTTTCGAGTTTAGTCGAATTAGAAATGTTTTTAGAAAAGGTTAGAAAAGGGATAATGATATTCGTGTGATGGTGGAAATCGTACAGTACACTCGTGATGATGCCCTGGAGCGATGCACGAAGTGTGCTGATCGGGTTCGCTTTACATCGGACCAGGCGCATCCCTGGTACAGTACTGTACTGTCAGGCGCAAAATGCGACTGAATGATCTTATTTTGGCCGATTTGGTTGGCCGTTGATCCCGATGCAGCGAATGGTGCCGCGCCAAGCGTCACACTGGGGATCGACTGGCGAACCAGTGGTGCCGGCAGTGAAGGCCGTGGGGTGGTGCTGGCCACCGAAGCAGGGCCCCCGGCCGGCGCTGTCACAGCGCATGAGGAGGCAATGGCGACCGATTTCGCGTGCTTTGGTGGACGACGGCGGGCGCCGCCCGCCGGCGACCATCGCAGGGGCATATCCGACGCCCTCCAGCTGTCTCTACGCCCCAACCCCCGTCCCGATGGTCCGCAAGTGCCAACCTCGCCCAATGAATTGTGCGTTTCTTACCCACTCGGGGTCCCCGAGCCCCGATTATGGCCTTTCTACTTGCCAGCCGGTGCCATTTGCACGCTTCTATGCCCCGATACCCCCTCCGCCTGCCCCGTCGTTTGCCGCCCGCCGTTCGAAATAACTACTTTTCCGCCGTCCTTCTTAAAGCTGTTTACTCTTCCCGCCTGCATAACCGTCGTCATCATCCGCCGTCCACAATAACGCCACCCTACCCACCCTACCCACCCTACCCACCCTACCCCGCCCAAACACTCTTTCTCCGTAACAGTCAACTCACTAAAAGTCACCTTTCTTCTTGCAATCATGGCTGATAGGTACGCTCCCTTCTCTCCGTTCCCCGCGCGCTGTTGAACCGAACACTGCGGCGACATTTGCGCGTGATACCCCACAGCCATTATGTCTCTGTCCTGTCACTCTTGCACCTCATCATCTGTTTTCGCCTTGCACAGCACTAACACTGACTCTCCCCTTCCACTCTCGACGTTTCGTCGCGGTCCTCTCCTTCTTTGCGCCATCTCAGTAATGGATTCACGGAAGCACCCACTGCGGAGGAACCCGCGAAGACTGCCCCTGAGACTTCGCCGGAAGCCGAAACCCCGGTGGGTGACGAAGTCCAGACCTCCAATGAAGGCGCTGGCGAGATTTCTACCAACTACACGGAGGTTCATGAGACCTTCGACGACTTGAATCTCCGCGACGAACTCTTGCGTGGTATCTACGCCTACGGTTTCGAGAAGCCCTCCGCCATCCAGCAACGGGCCATTATGCCCATGATCCGAGGCCGCGACACCATCGCCCAGGCACAGTCTGGTATGGGAAAGACCGCTACCTTTGTTATCGGTATCCTCCAGAACATTGATACTCAGGTTCACAAGGTTCAGGCCCTCATTCTCGCCCCGACTCGCGAGCTTGCCCAGCAGATCCAAAAGGTCGTCGTTGCACTCGGTGACTACATGGGGCTCCATTGCCATATTTGCATTGGAGGTACCATGGTTAACGAGGATATCCGTATCTTCCAAAATGAGACCCCTCACGTCGTCGTCGGAACCCCAGGACGTGTCTTTGACATGATTCAGCGTCGCGCCCTCGGCACCACCTCCATTAAGACTTTCTGTCTCGATGAGGCTGATGAGATGCTTTCTCGCGGTTTCAAGGAGCAGATCTATGACGTCTTCCAGTTCATGCCCGCCAGCTGCCAAGTCGGTTTGTTCTCGGCCACCATGCCCCAGGATGTGCTCGAGATGACGGACAAGTTCATGAGAGAACCGCTCCGGATTCTTGTCAAGAAGGATGAGCTTACCCTCGAAGGTATCAAACAGTTCTACATCGGTATCGAGAAGGAGGAATGGAAGCTCGACACCTTGTGCGATCTCTATGAGACGCTAACGATCACCCAGGCCATCATTTACACCAACACGAGGCGCAAGGTCGAATGGCTCACCCAGAAGATGGGAGAGAAGGACTTCACCGTTTCTATGCTTCATGGAGAAATGGAGCAGAAGGAGCGTGACACCATTATGCGCGAATTCCGTACTGGTTCCTCTCGAGTACTCGTGACTACCGATCTCCTCGCCCGTGGTATTGACGTCCAGCAGGTCTCCCTCGTTATCAACTATGATCTCCCGACAAACCGTGAGAACTACATTCACAGAATTGGTCGCTCCGGTCGTTTCGGCCGCAAGGGTGTCGCCATTAACTTCTTGACTGACACTGATGTTCGTGTCCTGCGCGAGATCGAGCAATTCTACAACACTAACGTCGAAGAGATGCCCATGGATGTGGCTGATCTGTTCTAGGTTTCGGTTTTTATCCTAAACCTATCAAGAGAGAGTTAGATGAAACGAGATTTCTTCATCTACCCACTCGGCTCTTTGCTTGACTCCGCCGTCCCGTCCCATGTTTGCACTGTTCTCGTTTCTTCTGCTTGTCAAACTTGCAAAGGTACCATGACTTGTTTTCGTGCTCCTGTGTTCCTTCTCACGCCAGAAGCAGAGAAGGCATGTGTATGCGCAATAGGATATCTGCGTGCCAAAACAAAACCATCCTCTGTGAATCGAAAAGTGAGTGGCATTGTTAAGAAGTTCACCGAAAGGGATGGTATCCAGTACACCAGCACTGGCACTGCGTGTTTTCCTTGCAGGTCGCATGGCGGACTCACCCTAAGTGTCGTCCAAAAGCTTTGGCACCACACTCAATCGCACTCGTTTTTCGCCAGCTCCCTAGATATGTTGAGAGCAGCCGAGCTTCGCAATGGTACAGTCGGAGCCAAGGAAATAAACAGATCTATGACCTTTCACGTAAATTCTCTGACCGGGACCACGGTACTCTGTGCAGTGTTGTTCGTTCTGTTGTAGATAAGAAACAGCAGCTAGAGCTGCAAATCTTACAGCTTCCAGAAGGGCACATGCTTGTAGCAATCATTGCGCCGTTAGACTGCGTGATTGTGTGTGGGGCCATTCCGAGGATCCTTGCCGTCGAATTTCGCTCGAAGGTTTGGCCCCGAGGGGGTGGGGCTGCCTTGCCAATTGTGTCATGTATCAGCCTCTGATTGACACCCACACATTTCTGAACTGCAGGCGAAGAATCTGCCTTCAGCTGATACGCAAGCGCATCTCTCAGGTCTGCCGGACGCGGAATATTCTGCCTGTTAACGGACCGGCTTCACCTCGGCTTCTCGTGAAGGCCATTTAGCTAGTCCTCCTACAGCAAAAGGGGCGTTGAAATAGGTGACGGGATGAGGTTGTGCGCGCTGGAAGCGTTAACACAGATACGTCAAGTCATGTTGCCTGTGCTGCACACATGTTGTTGTGGGGGATGGTAGATCCGTGTAGGAGAAGGAACAGGAGGAAAAGAAGAGAGTAGGAAGGTTAGGCGGCAGCATCGGTGGGTTTCGCTTCTTGGGAAATGTGATAAGAAATGTAGTGAGGATAGGGCTAGAGTCTACACGACAAGAGACCTCACATACGTATGAGGCTACTTTTCAACATATTTTTTCTCGACTTGTGCTCGCTCAACAAGAAGGAAAAAGATACTCTCGTCACCGCAGTTGACTGGAGTTTGGTGAGATCTGCACGTGTTTTCCAGCCATTTTAAGAATGCCTATAATGAAGCCCTTTTGACACACCTCAAGACGTTATGTGTAGATATCTTCGAAGGCAAAACGCCTGTTTAAAATGTCAACCGGGTATTGAATTCATGGCATTCTTATTCTTTCTATGTATTGGCATCTGGTATCCCAATGTTTTGCAAGACGTTATTGCCGAGGGCATGTTCGTTAAAGAAATGGCGTCTAAACTGACTTAACAAAGTTTCGATTTAATAACGTTGTCCGCAAAGTCGGGAAAACAAGTGTTTTTACAACGAGTTCGATCAATATTTCTGGCAGAAATATTTTCGAACAGCGCCTTTTACAAAACTCACAGGACCTCTGAAACCACGCTGCATGTGAGTTTGACGTGAGTTTTGACAGCCTCTGTAGCACTTCGGCCTCCAACCGCAACAACACCACTACCATTCTTGTCACCATCCGCGCCCTTCACACAACGTCACACACCCCCCGCCAACCCCTTTCAAAGGCAATTATGGACTCCTCGTCTGCCCCTAACGCGCACAAAGAAACTCAGTCACCGGCCATACTGGTTGCGGCTGACAAAAAGCCATGTGAGGATGGATTGAACCACCTTCCAGGTTGGTGATGACATCGAGAAGGCGAAAAACTCGTGGTTGGATTTCCAGTTTTATAATTTACTTTGCGACCCACCTATTTTGGTTTCTGCAACCAGGAACACCCGTTTACTTTACGGACAACGTTAAATGTATATGTTTTTGCAAAAAAAGCTGGCCTCATTTGAGGCAAATCGCTTGTCGTCTCTCTAGTGTCTAGACGACCGTCAATTCGACCTCATACTGTATGAGGCCAGCTTTTTTTGCAAAAATATATAAATTAAATCGAAACTTTAAAAAGTCAGTTTGGACACCATTTCTTTAACGTATACGCCCTCGGCAATAACATCTTGCAAAACATTGGGATGGTGGTTGTCAATGCACAGAGAGACTAAGAATCTAATGAAGTTTCAAATATCAGTTGACTTTTTAAACAGGCGTTTTGGTTTCGAAGATATCAACATAAAACGTTTTGAGGTTGGTCAAAAAAGGCTCCTTTTTGGGCAATTTAAAAATGGCTGGAAAAGACGTGCAGATCTCACCAAACTCCACCCTTCCACAACGCAGAAGTCAACTGCCGTGTCGAGAGTATCTTTTTTCCATCTTGTTGAGCTAGCACAAGTCGAGAAAAATAAGTTGAAAAGTGACCTCATACGAGGTCATTTGTCACCTAGACACTGGACACTCTAGACAATTGGGGCTTGCAGAACTCCGGGATAGCAGCTTTGAATACACAGAAAGATTAAGAATGTAATGCAAATTGAGTACATTGTTCGTTTTTTAAACTGGCGTTTTTGGTTTCGAAGATATTTTACGTGCGGTTTTAAGGTGGTTTAACAAAAACATCTTTTCCAGACGTATCTAAAAACGAGCAGGAAGAACATGCAATTCTCACAAAGTTCTTTCTGTCCCCAAGTCAGAAGTCAAGCACAGTGGCGGGGGTATCTTTTTCTTTCTTGTCAAGGAAGCGCAAGTCAAGAATAAAAGAGGTCGAATAAAACCCGCACATGAGGACAAAGGTCCAACAGACACTAGACACTCTACAGTAGACACTAGAGACCCTAGGTCTACATGGTGGACGCGGATGGAGGGATGGATGAAAATGGGAATTGAAAATTAGAGGGTTTGTGCAGATGACGAGGTTGTAAGTTGTAACGTGAGAGTGCTTGTACCGCACGGCATATGTGCTGCCGATGCAGCACTCATCGGGTCTTGGTGTAAATTAGGTAGCTCTCCCTTTTCCATGGGTGCGTTTCAGGTGATGGATGACTAATACGGTATAGTGTGGTGTGACAGTTACTTTTTAAAGCACTACGGTACATTGAGGTTGGAGGTCACAGGGCCTGAGGCCCTGTCCGTACTCGCTTCACGTACGGTAATCAACGAGGGAAGCGTGATTGAGGTTTGCGGAAATAGGGCTTGTATGAAGGGTATGTTGGGTGTGGAGTTGGCGGGATGTGAGCGCAGGCATGGAGATGATGCTTTGGTGAAGCTACGGATGCAGCAGGGGATTATGCCCCGTGACAATCGCGGTAGGGATGCGATCATGTCTCGGTAGGGGGGTTGTTGATGAGGCGAGATACTGAAAAGGTGGTGCGTTCGTGGTGCGTTCATGGCATGCACTTTCTCTGGGTGCCTTTGTACGTCATGTCATTTGACCCTTGGGCGGCTGTACTGTAGTGTACAGTATGAAGAGCGACTCTTCTTCATCCCGCGGGCTTAGGCCCCCAGCGTCGCGCGGGTTCTGCGGCTTAGCCACAATCCACGCCTTGTTTATCGGGTTTACTACCCGACGTTGGCAACAGCGTCCCGCACGGCGGCGCTTTTTTGTCCCGACTGTGGCCTACGACGGCCGTTGCAAGATGCGCGATTGGTTTCTGGCGGGAAAGCGCAGTGCAACAGCACGACAACCAGCCGCGGTGTGGAAACGTTTCAAACACAAACCAGGCTGGAGCGTATGCAACGTTGCCGCCCGCCGTTGGCAAACGTCATCCCCTCGCGCCAGTTTTCCCCGCCGCTTCGTAGTTGCCTCCGCGGGCGGCCGCGTGGGGGCTCAAAAGCCGCGGGCGACGGCGAGCTCACTTTGAAAAGATGCGCCTCCCCACGCCGCGGCACTGTATCCGCGCGCACGAGACGCAGGGCGCAAGGGGCGTGCAGATCTGACGTCACGCGCATGCGGGGCGGGCGCGGCGGCGGCGTGTTCGCAAAGAGATTGGGCGGCGGCGGGCGACCGGCACGTGCCGGCGTCTACCGTTCGCGGGCGGGGCGTTGGGGGCGCGTCGGGCCCGCCTTTCCCTACGTGTCGCTCGGCGAGCGCGTCCTATGCGCGCGCGCCCTACCCGGGCCGCGCCGCACGCCGCCGCGGCGGGCCGCGCGCACTATCGCCGCGGAGCAAAAGCGCGCGCCGCGCCGCACGCCCAGGGATTTTGATTTTGATTTTGCCCCGCGCCTGGAGACGGCTGTGTCCGCGCCGCGCCGAGCGAGGTTTTAACGCGATGCGCGCGGGGCAAGGCGAAGGCGGAGTTTAAAACACGCGCCCCTGAGACCGCCCCCAAGGGCGCGTCGATCGCCGGGCGCGGATCGCCGGGCGCGGACGCTGAGACGACGCCGGGTCGGCGGGCGCACGCGGCGATGCGGCAAGGCAAAGCTAACGGTGACAAGAGCGCACGCCTCTCGTGCTCGCTACTGTACAGTATGGTAGCGCGATGGGTTTTGTGCACTAGTCATACAGTGCTGCTCCACGCGGCGGGGGCACTGGGAGGCACGGGCGGGGGCGGGCAGAAAAAGTTTAGCACGTCGTGAGTTGGTATGCCATTCCTCTTAGATGGTGAGCTGGGCGGGCTGGGCGTTGGGAGTGGCGGCAACGGTGCGTGGGCACGCGGTCGGCGGGAGTTGCCTTTACAGTACCGTTGGTACTGTAGGGGCAGGGAGCGAGGGCGGAAGCTCGGTGTCCGGTGGGCGCGGCGCGGGAGGCGCGGGCCGGCGGTTGCCACGCACGCGGCGGCGAGAGCGGGCGAGAACGCGGGCGGCGGCGGCGTCGCGAGACGAGGCGCATCGGCGGGGGCGGAGGGTCAATATGGAGGGTTGAGAGGGTTGAGAAATTCGACCGGGCGCAGCGCGCGACGGAGAGGGCCCCGGCGGGGGGGGTCGGCGGGGCACGTGCGATACAGCGCCTGACAGTCGGCGACACGGGCGACTTTTTTTCTCCGCCCAGCGCAGTGCGTGCTGGCGCGCCTAAAATGCACCCTCCGAAATGAATCGTGACTGAATTGGCCCGCCCCAGTTGGCGGGCGTGCGGCGGCGTGATTTGGCGCCGCCCCCTGCGCCAAGTGTTGTCCAGTGCACGGAAGGAGAAACACCGGGGCAAAATAAGACACGCTTGCATGAGAGTTGGCCGCGCGTCGATCGGAAAGCCGTTTCCGCGACAGTCTGTCCGCGTTGGGTCCGCGTTTTGATGTGCTGCCCGGCCACACCCGCCTGCCGTCCCGCCTCTTTGATTGGCCCTGACACCTTCATTACAGCCCGGCCTCGGTACAAAAAAGCGCTGTGTCATGCCCTCCCTGTGCGCGAGCGCGCGCCTTTTTCACTCGTGTCAAAACAGCTGGCGTGCCTGCCCCGACGGATGGCGGCGCGCCGGCCCCCCCGCGGCGGGCGCGGGCGCGCGCCACGGCCGGGGGAGGGGTCTTTTTTTTACAACCAGGGAGAACCCGCCGGGGGAGAGAGTACGACGCCACGTGTGCCCACCTTTCGCTTGCGCGGCCGTGCCTCAATTCGCATGCCAACGCGCCCCCCGCGTCGGCCCCCCGCGCCGGGGGGTCTTAGCTCTGTTGTAAATATAAATTTATTTACAACCAGGGAGAACCCGCCGCGCGGGGGGATGCGCGCGCCAGGGCCCCCGCGCCCGCCAATGGCCAGGCAACACCTTGCGTTCCACGCCGGCCGCACTTTTTGTTCGCCCGCTGAATTGTTTCCCTCACGCGCGGCAC